AAATTATATGGGATGGGATCACTACAGGAAAATGTTACAGCCAGAGTACAGCCATTGCTGGTGGGGTGGGAAACTGGTGGTTGGCCCATTTATTAGAGCTCCATAAGATGATCCACAATGAAGAGAGAGAAAAATGTTGGTGAAAAAAAGCATTAAATATAGTGGTAGAAGAACATGGCTCCCTGTGAAATGAATTCTCGTCCCCTGTTGTCCTGGGAATAAGAAGCTCCTGACTGGGTTTTTGGAATAAAACTTTTGGTAAGAACAGAAACCCTACATTTATTCCTAAAGGAGAAAACTAGCTTTGGCACAAAACCTAAGTGCTTAAATTTTAAAAATTTATATTGTCAGTGAACAAGCTGTTATTTTCTCCCCTTCTCTGCACTAAAAAAGATCTCAAATCTTTATGACAAATCTGTAAGAGTCAAGCCAAACAACCCTCACACTTGACCATGTCAAAATGCTTGTCTGATTCTGCATCTCAAGTCCATCCTCATTCTGAATGTGGGCAGCAGAATTCAGCCTCAATCCTCTGGACTTGGGGTTAGTCACTGAACTGATCAAGATCAAAGTTGTCTTTAAAATGTTATCCTATAAATTGTGTTCCTGTTTCTGCTCATTTCATTTTTCATCAGTTCATAATAAGGCTTCCCAGATTTCTCAGAACCTTTCCCTTTTGTAATTTCTTATAGCACACTAGTATCCCATTACATTTAGATACTATAATTTCTTCAGTCATTCTCCATTTAATGGGTACCCCCTTAGTTTCCAGTTCTTTGCCACTACACAAAGAACTGCTATGACTATTTTTGTAAATGTGGGTCTTTCCTGTTTCTTTGATCTCTTTCAGGCATAGGCCTAATGTGGTATTGTTGGGTCAAAGGGACTTTACAGGGGAATGAGGGAGGGAACAATCATTTAATAAGCACTTACTATGTACCAGGGACTGTGCTAGGCACTTTATAAATATTATCTCATTTGATCCTTAAAACAACCTGAGATATAGGGGCTATTATTATCATCCTTATTTTTCAGAGGAGTAAAGTGAGGCAAACAGGGTTAAGTGACTTACCCAGGGTCCCACAGCTAGTAAGTGTCTGAGGCTGGATTTGAAATCAAATCTTCCTGATTCCAGGTCTGGTGCTCTATCCACTGTGCCACCTAGTTGCCCCAAAACTACAGATCATGCTCAAGAAGGAAAGAAGGAAAGAAGCATTTATTAATTACCGCTTATGTGCCAGTCACTGTGCCAAGTACTTTACTTATCTCATTTGATCCTCACAATAACTGTGAGAGGTAGGTGCTATTATTATCCCCATTTTACAGTTGAAGAAAATGAGGCAGAGAGAAGTAAAGTGATTTGCCTTAGGTCACACAGCTAGGATGTGTCTGGGGCAAGATTTGAACTCAAGTCTTCCTAACTCTAGACCCAGCACTCCATCCACTGACATACCTATTTGTCTTGGTGGTTAGGATGAGGGGAACTGAAAGGGAACTTGGATCATAGGCCACTTCATAGGACAGAGTTGCAAACAGTCCAGAAAACTGAGTAGGGGCACTTGAGAAGGAGACTGCCCTCTTGTTTTAATCCTGTAACTCCCAGCTGAGTTTCAGGACACAGTCCTACTGCACATCTAAGGAGTCCTGTATAGTGAAAAACTCTCAAGAGGGCATCTTCAGCCAGTCCCAGGTTGTCACTTTTCCAGAAGAAAGCAGTTGCCATACACAATTCCTTAGGTTATCGTCAGGCATTGGGATGACAGACTTGTCAAGTGGTGGGTGCTTGGTGGGTGCTTCAGTGTCTTACTCTGAATGCTCTCAATGGGAATTTAACTTCTGTCAGTCCATCAGGTGGCAGCAAAGATCACAAAAGGGTTTCTAGGACCCAAAGGACCTCACGTTGAAGCTCTGTCTTAAACCCAAGAGTTGGCAGTTCGTTTAGGAGGTGCAGGTTTCATTCTTCTTACTAGAAGATCCTCCCATAGCTTCCCCCCTTCCCCTCACCTCTCTCCCTCCTAATGCAGGAATTTATCCCGGTCTGGCCTTTTTTAGAATCTTTACCATGACTTTGACACATACAACTTTGAAAACCTGACTCCACCTACTTTTCCAGAATTATAACACATTATTTCCCTCATTGCATTCTTCAGTCCAGGGAACCTGGCCTTTTCACTGTTCTTGGAACTCAATATGCCATCTCATTGGCTTGAATGACTTCCTTCTCATCTCTGCGTCTTATAATTCCTAGTTTCCTTCAAAGTTCAGCTCAAGTTCCAACTCCTATCCCTTTCCTGATCCCTCAACTGCTAATGTCTCCCCTAGAAAATCACTTTGTCTTTATTTTGTATATTCTTATATGGGTATATGCTATCTTCCCCAACAGGATATAAGCTTCTTGAGGACAGAAACTGGTGCATTTAGGTCTCTGTATACAGTACTTAGCACAGTACTGAGCACATAATAAACATTTAATAAATACTTATTGATTGACCCTACTATGTGCAAAACACTATGCTAGGAGCCATGGGACATACAAATATAAAAAAAGATATGGACTATGCCATTCATTCATTAAACATTTATTATTTTGTGAAGTGATAGGCTACAATCTTAGCAATATAGAAATACAAACAAAGTGCTATGACAGTTCAGAGGATAGAAGCAATCACTTCCTTCTGGGGGGTAAATGAATACATGCCCACAGCTACTATCCTATGAAAAAGGAAATCCATCAGCACTGAATCATTTGATCCTTCCTGGTTTCCACTTCCTCTTCTCCCTGCCAGAAGTTTCCTTTCTCTTTTACTTCCTCCTCTCTACAGGGAAATTAAAATAATAGCAACAAAAGCAATTTGTTTTGATTTCTGTTTGGAGGGAGCCCAAAGCTCAATTTGAAAAAAATGGGTATGGGCAATGAAGGTTGTTTTTATCTCTAAATTCCCCTCCTCAAGAATAACGTTCATCTTCCAGGAATGGGCTGCTCCCTTCATCTGTTTAAGCTTGCCTAGCTCAATCTGGCTATCAGATAAAAAGCATTAAGAGGAGAACAAATAAAAACCAAAAACAAACAAACAAACAAAAACAAACCAGAAAACTTGAATCAAAGTGAAGGGTGAACACACATGGAAATACTTGAAAGAAAGATCTCCCTGTAAGTTTCCTTACCCCAACCAGCCCAAGGTGATGGCGCAGGGTTTCAGCCGTGTTGCTATAGTGACAGCACTCTATTGGATGCTAGACTGCCTTAGAAAATGAGATATCCCCTAAGAGAAGTATCCTGGCTCTAGCTCAACTCCATCTTGCTGCAATACTGAAGTAGATCTTTTTGAATGTTACCCCAAGGCTCAACTGTTTTTAATCTACCCCCACTATCTTCACTCTTTCATGCTTGATATGCTGGGAGAAAGCCAGAGGTTGCTCTAAAAAAAAAAATAAAAATAAAAATAAAGACATTCATATAAAGGTTTGTTCCTGGCTTCAATAGGCAACCTTAGAGATGAAGGCAGAATTGTCAGATCCTGAGGAAATCAGGGCATGGGGAGGGGACCAAAGCCTAGGTTTCTCTCTAGGCTTTGCCTTGTAATTGAACTTGACTCCTCCCCAAGAGCTCAAACTCACTCCCTTTAGTCCTGGGAAGTGCACAGTAAAATACCCTGTTTTGCCTTGGTTATCTACTGGGGTGTGTGTTCAGCTGTGTCTACTTTAAGAACACTCCCCGTCTACTTACTGTCAGATCCTTATCTGAAAGGAGGGGTAAGGATAAGAAAAGGAAGTCAAGTAAGTTAAAGCCTTATGTGGCAGTGCCCCAGAAAGATCTGCCCCTTTGATCCTGAAGCCATAACACAAATTCATAGGAAAGAGAATTCAATTTCTAAATATGATTTTCATGTCACTCTTTTCCTATGAGGTCTCAGCAAAGTCACTGTGCTGAAAACTCCAAGCTGGCAGGGGTTCTGGGCCTTCCAAGAAAAGTGATTTCTTCCTGTCGCTGCACAGCCCTCAGTGACACCTGGGGAGTGAAGACCACACTGCAC